ATTCTTCTTCGACGCACCACCACTTATAGAAAATCGCTGAAATGTAACGCATTTCGCTGCTGTACTCTGCGAGTACTAAGCGAGAGTTGTCAGTCGACTGGTAGCTCTCAAAGCAAGCAGTCGCGTTGTTGCAATTGTTACAAAAACATTTACTCGGTTGGTTTTGTTTCATTAAAATAAAAAGCTTTGTGTGGTTGTATTAATTTTATTTTAACTCAGTGGGATTTTATTAATTTATTGTGGTAAGTCAACCAGAAATATAAATTGTTACAAAATTTAAACGAAATCGTTCGAGATTTAAACATAAATAAATTTACTAAATACATTTTTATGATTTAAATTTTTATTTTTGATTGAAAAAGCTCTTTTTATGGTCGTAGAGGGTATTATTGATCGTCTCTAGCCTCTACCACGCTGTCTACAATACAGCGTGTCTGGTGCTCGGTTTGATCAATCCCCCTTAAAATTTAGGGTGAACAACATTCGAGCTTAACATTGTGTTTACCGCAACACGCTACACGTTGAGAAAGAGCTTTGAAACTTCGTTGCGTGTAAACGTTTTTGTTGTTATAATAACGCGTGCAAGCGACTAATTATGTAAATATTGGCGTAGACTTAACGCGTGCTATACACTACACCGGCTCAACTAACAATCAACGTGTTAAGACCTTCAGTATATTTAAACAGTCTAGGATTTGTAGGTGTTTATTTAGGTTCTTATAAACACTCTCTTCACTGTTTTGATACTTTTGGTGGTTTGGAAAAAAAATTTGCGCAACAATAAATATGTTGCTAATAACAGTTTGGGTACGAATAAAGGTTATCGACTTTATTAATTACATTTAAGATACGCTATCTAAATGTTTATTAACTATTAATTAGAATTTAAATTTGTATATTTTGAGGTACCCATTTAGTGGGGAGATTCATTTCACGTTTCATTACCTAATTAAATCTAAATTAATTTAGTTAATTCACGCGTGATATTAGTTTGTGGGTGATGCAAAAATATTTATTTAATTTTATCGTTAAAAGAAATTAACTCCTACCTGAAGTTTATTTAGCAGGTGTTTTGAAATTCGATACCTCTTCTATATTGTATTATTTGTTTGTTTTCGATATGTATATCGATCGTCACGTGTATTATTCATTTTGAAATTCATTTCACAATCGGAACAAACATTTATGTTTATTAACTTCCTATCTGCAAAGCGAAATTACTTTTGTTCCGATAAAATAATTCTAAAAATTACTTGTGGATGTGGTTTTACACCAACTGTGCTAGATAACATCAGTGTAAATGTATGTTTTCATGGTCAATTGTCATGTAATACTTCGACTTGCAAAATTAAAAAAAACTTGGTATTGAGTCACGATATCTCGTTTATGTATTTATTTTTTTTTTGAGTTATGTAAATTAACTAATGACGATAATTTATTATTTATCTTTCACTCTCTATTAACTTTCTCTTAAACCACACATTCATAATTAAAATTAACCCACCTAAAAGTAAACTTTTTTGTCTATTAAGTCGGTTTTTCATTAGTAGAATTAGTGGTCTAATGAATTAAGTTACCACTTGTCATCCCCCACCAAATCGGCTTAAAAGTACGCTAGTTACTTATTTTATTCACGTATTTATTACTGAAATAGTTACAGTAGCTGACTATTAATTACCCACACCGATTAGTATCTTCCATTATCATCTAATAGTCTAATCTATTAAAATAGTTTCTATTTCAATCAAAATATGGTATGTTAAAAACGAAAGTACGATTGAATTGTTTTAGAAATTTTTGATTGATTGCGATTACATCCAGTGAGTTATTGTATTTACAATTTCACGCCTTCGCGGTTCCGAACAGTTTCTTGCGTTTACTATTTTTAGATTTGAACCTGGTGAACAGTGACATCTATGTTCTTTGTTTAAACCTTCAAGTCATTGTTTGTGGACGCTTTCACTTCTCCTCTGTACTGAGTCACTTAATTAACAGCGTGTTTATGATAACTAATTCTTATCTTTGTTGATACAAAAAAACATGATAGAAATCTGTATTGGAAGTTTGTGTCATTTAGGTTGCATACATTTCATCGTTATTATATCTTAATTCAGTAAATCCTTGTTATTAGAGTAGTAATCCTTGATAACCATGCGTTAATTCATTTTATAATCGAGTTTTGATCTTATTCAGAATCGTAATTAACTGTATTAATGATTGAAGTTAGGAAACTGAACTAAGTTAGAGGACCAAAAGTAATATCAAGTTAGAACTGATTGCTCTTTATAGAATGTATGTCTCTTTCCATCATTTAATAATCATTTGGAGTGATTATAGAGAAAGTTTTGAACATTACATTTTCAATTAGCACAATTTCTTCTTATATTCATAAGATTTCCATCGTGTACTGTTGATTATGAACAGTTTGAAAATGTGTGCGGTATGGAATCGTAATTGCATGTTTTTCGACGCAGAATAAGGATGAAAGCTTCTTTTCTTATCCTTTGTATTATTTTTTCTTTTATCTGACGAAAAAAATGAATTTTGAACAAATGGTAACTTAACGAGGAGCATATTTTATTTTGTCGATATTTTATCAATTTTTCAAAGTTCTCTAGCCTACATTTTTTAGAGCAATTGACGTAAATTATAAATTAAAAAGAAACGGAAATAAGCTTTGGTTCCATGCAGCCATTACAATGATTAGTAAGTATATAGGAACTACTCTCCAATACAAACTTCTTCGTAAATGTTCATTTTCAAAGAAGTTTTTGCAAAAAGTTAAAAACAATGCTTTAGAAAAGAATATTGCAAGAAACATTTCTGCAAATAGAACAGCCACACTGACAATGAAGTTTATATAAAAAGACCATGTTACTGATTAGGTGAAGGAAAGGTTGGATGAATAAACAATTCTAAGACAGAAATTTTTCTGTATGGCAAAAAGAACACTGGTATATTTTTGTAAAATGACATAAATACTAAAACTGATAACGAATTCAGGCGAAAATGTTTGCAGAAAGAAAAAACAGTTGGAACTAACAAAAAAATTCCGACATTTGTGTAGAAAATTCGAAGAAAAAGAAGTTTTGACAAAAAGTTAAAAACCAAAAATGTCATTAGCAAAGAATACTGCAAAGAAATTAGAACACCCACACCGGCAATGAAGTTTATACAAAAAGATTATGTTACTGATTAACTGATAGAAAACGTTAGCAAAAGTGGTAAATGATAAGGATAAAGAACTAAATAAAGACAGGAAAATTTCTATCTATAAGAACACTGACTATATTTGCGATATTTTTGAAAAAGGCATAAACACTGCTATCCCTCGCTAACTTCCAAATATACAAATTGCATCATATTAATGATAGAAATGTTAGATTCTACGCTGATTAGAGAACAAATCAGTCAAAGTCAAATATTCGGTAAAAACGATCGAATGAAATTTGACGAACTAACGATGTCTGTGAATTATCGGTGAACAGAAAGAAGGCAAATAACAAAATTACTATAATAAAAGAAATTTGGACACTATTTGTTGAAAATTGTGTCAAGAATACAGCTCTTATTGGATAGATATAGCTACAAGGTTTTTACGCAAATTATAAATGTATACTGACCAATGGCCAAACGATATGAGGAAAAAGCATCAAGCAGCTGGCAAGTAATAGCACCGAACAGTTTTTTTACAACCGTTGTTTTGGCAAATTGCTTACTAGAACCGAACCTGACATGTTTATGCCGACTTTCGATCATGTTTTCAAAATGCGTATGTAGAACTGTTAGCATTATTTTGCGAAATATTTACTGGTGGAAGCATTTATCTTCAAAAACATGTCGATTGCAAATTTTGTCTGCGGTAGCTTCTAATATTGCATAGATCTGGATCTTGTGTTGTATATGCAATTAGATTATAATGGATATTTATTTCTGGTTTATTTTGCTTATGCCGATAAAGCAGGTAACTTTATCGGCTCTCTGAAACTGGGTTGGGTTGAGTTGCTATGGGTTAATAAAAGGGTTATAAAAGAACAGCTTTTATAATTTTTGACATATAGGATACTAATTTTAAGTTGATCTGTAAAACCAAATATACTAGAATATTGTTCCAACAATGTTCCAGTATTGGTAAGATTTTGCTTGAAAAGCTCTTTATTCAAAGGAGTAGATGTAAAAATTTATCTGTAGTCACTCCTCGTCAAAAACCAAAATATGGTCTAACCATATTCAAAACAACTATTTGTTTTGAATTGTCTTTTGACATTGGCAGAAAGTTTCTGCAGAAAGAGAAGAACGTCAACGCTGTTAAATTATATTGAAAAATGTATTGGCAAGAAGAGAATTTTACGAGTCATATAATTTATAGATATAGTCGTAATCTTGTGCTACGAGCACCTAATCGTCGGCGAAGCACAGTGTGCTCTCGATGGGTATTCCCATATTCCTAAAATTTTTCTGCCAGCCTTTAAGAACTTGTTTCAAATATATCTTGAACAGCATTACTGAGATACAACACTCTTATTTCAACAGTCTTGTTTGGTTCCATTGAATTCTGTTGTTAACTTTTTGCCGGTTTTAATTCTTGTTTTTGTTTGTTTATATAAGAACTTCACTGCTTCTATTAGCTCCGTGTTTATATTCGGTTTTTCTAGAGCTTTCCAAAGTTTCATAAGAGGGACGCTGCTCATAGGCCTTATGTATGCCCACATAGAGAAGATGCAGCTCTTGGTTTAGATCATACTTTTTACTTACTACTTAGGTGATGGTAAATAAGTGGTCTAACGTGGACCCTCTGGCTCTGTACAACAAAAAATCTTCTTTAATCTGGTGTCTCTCCTATATTAGTGCTCTTATACCCTATTTATTGCTAGGATTACTACAACCGGCCATTGATTGCTAAGTCTTAACCGAAACAGAGTTTTGCCAATGGTTATGTACTAAATAACAAGAAGATAGTAGATTTGTTAATCACGCAATATCTTATGTAGATGAATCACTCAAGATTTTTTCTGAATGCTTTAACTTCTAATGCTTGATTATGACAAAAATTTTCTCATCTATACGGTTTTGCCAACATTATGACTAATTCCTAAGGATGCCTTAATCCATTAAATTGTTGCATAACAATGTAAAAGAACATAAAATAAAAACAATAGTTAACAACAATTTATAAAGAATAATTACAAATGTTATCACAATTATAAGTAAAAATCAAATTTTTTAAATATTCACAATAATTAAATAACTTATTTATATTGTATTGATTATAACATCACTATTTTCTTCAATCCATTTTAAATAAGATGTAACTCTCGTATAAGCTCCCGGAAAATCCACTTCGCATCCAAAACCAACACCAAATGATGCAATCCCAACTTGTATATTATTTATTAATAATGCACCACCTGAATCACCATTGCACGGTGATTTTCCGTTCAATCCACTCGCGCATATATTTGTTTCTTCAATAAATAAACCGAAGTACCACATCTTGCACTCATCATTTGTTATTATTGGAGCTTCCACGTAATGCAATAAATCTGTGTATGTTGACTCTGCATCTGATATTTTACCCCAACCGCTTATGGTTGATGATTCATCCAAGAAATCGTTTTGTGTATCAGAGTAACTTGGTAACGCTACGATTTGAATTATATCTAAACGAATTTTTTTTTTAATTTTGTTTACAAATATAATTGAATTATATTTACTTGATAAATAAACGCTATTTTCTGGTAAAACAACCAAAGCAATATCATTTTTGTTAAAATCGCTATCATACTCTTCGTGTATTATGTAATTTTCAGCTAAAATTCTAACTTGGGAAGATTCTTCGTTGTCTCGAATATTATGAGCCCCTAAAACTGCTTCAATACGCAACGAACTGAAAATAAACTTATTAATAAAGATTAAAAATGACATTTAGAAGTTAAATACTTTATAGGACAATGTGCTGCCGTTAAAACATATCTTGTGGAAATTAACGAACCACCACAAAATCGTGTTGTATCTTCTACTTCTATAAATAGTCCAACTTGGTGTGGAAAACTGTGTGGTTCTGCAACTTGACCACCTACCACTTTTTGTTGCCTATTTTCGTTATTTAATGTCTTAAATATAAATGGTGTATGATTCCAGTTTCTAGATGTGCACTATTAATTAAAATTTTAATTTATAAATTAATAATTTGTTATATATGTTTGGAAATAATTTTGTGATATTTACATAATACAATAAAACCTTGCTATAACGGATTAATACGGAGAAGGGAGTAAAAATTTTTTAATTTGCACTTTAAACTGTTTGAATGAATAATTTTAATACACATAAACAAGAGGACTGCTACGTCTCGGGACCAAGTGTACAGCTCGAAGGCCCGTTCGTGACGTCACGCGGGGGTAGGTAACTACTATTTCACATTTTGAATTAGCAAATGCTTAATTTATTCTATTCGTGGTTTGTAATGTTGTTTGTTGGAGACTTATTAAGGTTCATAATATAAAAGAAAAATATTGATTGAATTTAGACGTGCGTCTCATAAGACGGCTAAACCCGAATGTTTCTAGGTCTAGTGTTAGTTCTGCTTTTAGTTCAATAAAAATATACAACAATCTAGCGCGGAATAACAATTAAGCTTGAACTAATACTAGACCTATAACTTGAAAGATTTGGGTTTAGTTCTAGTTTTATTCCAATAAGAATACACCTAATTCTGTTTTTACGCGAACTTTTTTTACGCGAATTTGATATAACACGATTAATAAAATATATTTTATTCTTTTTTTACTCGATTTAATTTGATTTAACGCGATGCAAGAAATTTTAATCTAGAATAATTTTGGAACTAAAATTTCGTGTACGTGCAAGTATGTGAAAGCGCTTGAAAGGTATATGATTGTGCGAGAATCGATACCCCCTGATTGCGCGAGCGCATCAATAGTTACAGGGGATTTCCCTAATTTTATATCATCTCACATCTGTTTTGGTTAAAATAATTACGAGTTTACAGTTTGGCTTCAATGTTTAAGGTGAGTAACAAAATCGAATACAATATTAAATAAAATATTTTTTGATACATTTATTCTTTACTTACTTATTACGTATAAATAAATAAAATTTTTATAGGCGATCTAATCACAATGTCAGCTACAAAACAAACAAAAAGAAAAGCTATTTCTTTGGAAGTTAAAATCAACATTTTAGATAATTTAGCTAATGGAGATAGTGCCACCACTGTAGGGCAACGTTTCGGTTTAAGAGAATCCACCGTAAGAACTATAAAAAAAAATGAGGACGCGATTAGAAAATCTGTAATTGCTGGGACAAAATTAAGTGCTCATACAACATCATACACAAGAGACATTGTGAAGCAAAAAATGGAAAAGGCTCTTGTAATATGGATGGAGGATATGTCTCAAAAACGAATACCCGTTGACGGAAATAACATCAAGCAAATGGCATTAAAGATTTACAACCAGATTAAAGAAGCGGAACCACAAACATCAGGCGAGAAAAGAAGAAAATTTGAATTTTCTGCTAGTACGGGATGGATGAATGGTTTTCTACAACGACACGCGTTACATAATATAAAGATAAAGGGTGAAATTGCATCTGCAGATGATGTAGCAGCTAAGGAATTTCCAGCAAAACTGGCTAAAATAATTGAAAAAGGTGGTTACACTCCAGATCAGGTATGGAATGCGGACGAAACAGGCCTTTTCTGGAAGCGTATGCCAAATAGAACATACGTAGCTAAATCCCAGAAAACTGCCAGTGGGTTCAAGGCGGCCAAAGATCGCGTAACCTTTTTATTTTGCTCTAATGCGTCTGGAGATCGAATGTTAAAACCCTTGCTTGTTAATCGAGCTCTAAAACCACGGTCTATGAAAGGTGTAAATTTAGATACCTTATCAGTACACTGGACAGCTAATAAAAAAGCCTGGGTAACTAGAGAAATTTTTAATGAATGGTTTGTCAAACATTTTATCCCAGAAGTGCGTCGCTATATGAGCGATAAAAGTCTTGAATTTAAGGTTCTTCTGATTATAGATAACGCACCTGGCCACCCACACATAGAGCACCCGAATGTTGAATTTTGTTTTCTTCCTCCAAATACTACTTCCTTGATACAGCCGTTGGACCAAGGAATTATTGCAACCTTTAAGACCTATTACGTAAAGCAAACATTTCGATACATTTTAGATAAATTAACAAATAATAAAAATGTAACGGTCATTGACGCGTGGAAGAACTTTACAATAAATGACTGCATCAAACATGCTGGATTAGCACTATCCGAATTGAAACCATCAACTTTGAACGCATGTTGGAGATCTCTTTGGCCAGAATGTGTAAAAAATAAAGATCATGTGCCTTCTAATATGGATCAATACCCTAACATCACAGCCTTAGCTCATGAAATAGGCGGAGAAGGATTTGCTGATATATCGTCTGCAGATATCGATGAATTACTAGAGGATAAAGCACTTACTGATGATGAAATCATTAGTTTAGCGCTTGAGATTCCCGATGATAAAGAATGCAGTGAAATTGACGAAGAGATTCCTACCCTTACCGCAGATGTAATCAAAGAAGGACTACAACTCGCTGCTAAATTATGCGATCATTTTCAAAAGCATGATCCTATTGAAGAAAGATCTACAAAATTTCAACGAGACATTAAATTATTAATGGGCAGTTATCGTGAATTGTATAACAGCCTTATCAAACCTGGAACACAACGATCGATAACAGAATTTGTGACTAGAACCACTAACGCGGCAGCACAGCTTGAGAAGGAAAGCGCATCGAAAAGTGATAGCAATTAGAAATTAATTTTCGTTTTTTTCACTAAATAATGATTTTTTCTTTACTTTTATTTTATTATTATTTCAACTTATGAATTATTTATTATTTTTAAATAAGTTTTATTAAATAAAAGCACATTAAAGTAACCGAATTTATCTTTCTTAATCATAACATTTTAACCGATTCTTCAAATGTCGGAAACTATCCAGTATTTTTACATAAATACCGTATCTTTTTTTACGCGATTTTCTTTTACGCGAATTTATTGGGAACGTATCTATCGCGTAAAAACAGAATTAAGTGTATACAACAATTTAACTCTGAATAATAACTAAAACTAGAACTAACACTAGCACTAGAACTAACGCTAGACCTAGAACTAGAAGCATTCGGATTTAGCCGATCGTCTCTTAAGACGGCTAAACCCAAATGTTTCTAGTTCTGGGTCTAGTGTTAGTTCTAGTTTTATTTCAATAAGAGTATATAACAAATTAACGCTGAATAATACTTAACTAGAAGTTGAACTAATACTATTTTTAGTTCAATAAACACATACAACAATCTAGCGTTGAATAACAGAACTAGAAATACCGTCCTTGATTTATACATTGTATAGACAACTCAGGGAATACCCGAGTTTGTCTATGAACTATGAACATGGAATAGAGCAACTTGGGGAATAATCGAAATGGATTCTATCTATGAGCGGTAACATTTATATTTAAATATACTGATGTATTAAATAGATAATATTAATAATTTTGTCCAAAGTCCGTTTTAACGAGTTTTGTTATAGTATAGAGTGCTTTAAACCAAGAAACTCTATCTTTAATACTGTATCACAATATTATTTCTTGACATACTTACCTGCTGTGCACAAAACATGAAAAATATCACCAATAAAACTGGATGGTTAAGCATGATTATTGTACTGTTTTAATTTAATTTCATAAAAACTTCCACGCTTTTTATATTCGTCCTAAAGTATTTTTTATCACAGATAATAATTATTTTATCTTAACCTTTAAGTACTCGCGTGGTTCTTATTAGGCGCCAACGTCTCTTATACCTATTTTTGTACACTAATTTTAAATCTTTTAGGAAATAATAAGTAACCGAAGTATCATGTTACGCTTTGTTTAGGACTTTATTGAGAAAGAACTAATTGATTTAACTAGTGTTACTCTACCTAATTATATTAAGAATACATTAAATCACAAATAAGTATATAACTATATATTAGTAAAAAAGATATTTGAGTTGAAAGTGTCATTTCTGATTACTTTGTTTCTAAATGTTTTATTTTTTATTGGTCTACATGAGATTAGATCTAAGATTTAAACGATTTTTTTTATTTATATCATATAATTCCAATAAATAACATTAAATAAATAAAAAATAAAATCAAAAATTATTCGTCGAGAATATTTACATCAGCATGGCTTTCAATCCATTCTAAATGATGCGTAATTCTTGTATAACCACTAGGAAAATTGAAATTTAAACATCCAACAAGCCAATGAGGTCCAAATGATATAACACCAATCTATAAAATAAAAATTAATTTATTTTTTTCTAATTAGAATCTAATTAGATTATGATTTCTTACCTGTTTTGAATTTAAAACAAGTGGACCACCTGAATCACCATTACAAGGCCCCCTTCCATTGTCACCTGAAGTACAAATATGGAGATCTTCTTTAACTTTTTCACCGTAAAAATAGACGCACTCGTCGTTAGTAATGATTTTTTCTTCGGTTCTTAAGAGAACTTGTGAAAGTGATTGAGTTTCAGTTTTTCCCCATCCGGATAAAACAACTTTAACACCGACAAAATCGATTGTTCTATCTGAGTAAGTTGGTAACGCGATTGGTTGGATGGCATCGGTAAATTCGATGGAATTTGGAAATCTAATGAGGGCAATATCATCTACTACGGTGTACACAAAATTTTCATGAATGATAAAATTTTCGGAGTTGATCTCGATGAAAACGTGGTTATCGTTTAAGTCGTTTAAATCGTGACCTCCAAGAATTACTTCTATTCTTACTTGTCTTATAAAAATTAATAAATAATTGAATTAATTAGTTGAATTAGAAAGAAATAACTTACTTCCATAAGCAATGTGCGGCTGTTAAAATATAATTTTTTGAAATAATTGATCCCGAGCAAAACATAACCACGTTATTTGCGGAATAAGCGTACATAGCGACCTTAAAAATTAAAATAATAATAATAATTTAATGGATACTTTTTACGTACTTGATATGGAATTGAGTGAGGTTCAACTTCTTCACCACCAAATATACGTGAATCTCCTTTTATCATAAAACGATCAGGAATATTTCTTGATAATGGTAACCCAAATGGGTTAAGTTGTGATTCATCTCCTTGAATCTAAAAAAAATATAGAGATGTATTTAAGAATTTATTAATTATTTTTCTTACCTCTGTAAAAACCCCGATTACAAGTATAAACCAGATTTGAAACATTTTCATGTTTTTCTGTATTATTTGTAAACTCTTCGTCGTTGAATCGAATTAATACTTCTGATGAAAAGTGTGGATTTACTTCCCTTTTTATACATAAACATCCGGTATTGTTTAAAATTGTTATTTATTAAATTATTATTAGTGGGTCGTCTAGCACACATAATTATTGATAAGTTAACATAACAAATTAATACAAAAAAAACAGCTTATTGACGTTAAATAAATAAAATTCCTTGGACAATAAATTAATTACACAAATAAGTGTATCAATTTCATATTTATTTGACTAAGTAATTTATAGGAATATACATAACATTAAAGGCCTAACCATTAACATTTAGTTCTATAAACCAGTTTTTGTATATAATCAATCCTGTCAATCATTACTATGTATTAGTTTTTCGAGCAAGGTAAATAACTTGAATGTAAGTAGTTATAAATTAAGTATTTATACGACGATTTTAATGAGGTGATTTTAATATGGTAAGGTGAGTTGAGGTCGTTGATTTTATAATTAATTAATTATCATATTTGATGTAACTTTATGTAACTAAAAAGGTAGGGAAGATCTTTCCACTCACGAATAAATGATGGGTTCGATAACTTAACTTAATTTGTGTTAGTTTAATCGTTGTGTTAACATCTTTTTAACATTTTTGCCATCACTTGATCAAATGAATTCTTGTAGCCAATTCTTAGAAAGACGTTGTGATATAGGGAATACCACGAGAAATTAATGATTCATCGATTTCTGTTATTGTTTTCCGCATGTGTTAGAGTGAAATGGCACGATTTCACGCGATGAGTCACTTGAATTTCTGGTGGTATAGAGTATAGGAGTATATTATCAGTATGAATGTGATTAAATATGTAGTCTTTAACTTTTCTGGTCGTTCTGAAAGTTCGTGGAACCTATATATTATACAGAAACCATGTCATTATTGGCAAAAAATAATTTCGCTATTTATCTCTTCCTCGATTTGTCGAGATCGTTTGATTCGTTACCACCATCGTAAATCATACAAAATTTGTATACTTTCGAGTGTAGATCCATGTTGCAAGTGAATTATTTAAAAATAAAACGAAAAAACTTCTTAACTTGCTATATTTAATAAATTTGAAGTCAAACTAGTTTCGGAGCTAGCCCCATCCTCAGTGACAATGTCAATAGAAGACTAATTGAGGACATTGTCACTGAGGATGGGCCGAAACTAGTTTGACTTCAAATTTATTAAATATAGCAAGTTAAGAAGTTTTTTCGTTTTATTTTTGTATACTTTAGTCTTAGGAGGTGCAAACAATTCTAATCTGGATTCGATCGTTTCTGGATGATCGAATAATTATGAAGGGAGGTGCATTTAGATGAGTAAAAACAAGTGCATTGTAAAAATTTGTCTGTTATGTCAATAGAAGACTAATTGAGGACATTGGCACTGAGGATGGGGCTAGCCCCGAAACCAGTTTCTTCAAATTTATTAAATATAGCAAGTTAAGAAGTTTTTTCGTTTTATTTTTGCATACTTTAGTCTTAGGAGGTGCAAACAATTCTAATCTGGATTCAATCGTTTCTGGATGATCGAATAATTATGAGGGGAGGTGCATTTAGATGAGTAAAAACAAGTGCATTGTAAAAATTTGTCAGTTATGTCAATAGAAGACTAATTGAGGACATTGGCACTGATGATGGGGCTAGCCCCGAAACTAGTTTGACTTCAAATTTATTAAATATAGCAAGTTAAGAAGTTTTTTCGTTTTATTTTTGTATACTTTAGTCTTGGGAGGTGCAAACAATTCTAATCTGAATTCTATCGTTTCTGGATGATCGAATAATTATGAAGGGAGGTGCATTTAGATGAGTAAAAACAAGTGCATTGTAAATTTTTTTTTCATCAATAGGCAATTAATTTCACACATAGTTCATTCAATACTGTTTTCTGATGTCTTATACTATAAAAATGTATGATTATAATCTTCAAATTATTCCAAAGTAGACAACAAATTAACTTCGTCTTGGGGAAGGTTCTGGTGTCAGTTATTTTACATTTGTTTTATATTTTAGTTAGAGTGGTTAGAATTATTTGGCAATATATTTAAGTTGTCCCTAACATTCATATCTTGTGAATGAACCTAAGAAATCTAAAGAAAATTTTAATTGAAAAATATATACTTTTTTTAACAAAATGTTTTTATTTTTTAAGAAAATTTTGATGATTTTAATAGCTGTTATCTTTTGATGATTTTGTACGCAACGTAATAAAAGTTGCTTGTGTTATTCTTTAGTCATAATCAAACCATGAAAGTCTAAAGCGTTCAAACCTTCTTTATGGCTTCTTTAAACGAAGCGTCATTTATCTACCAACTAGTACATTCGTAGAGAGTTTGACGTCAAAACAAAGACTTCTTTTTGACCGAAATGATACCATTAGTTGTAACCTTTACCATTAGTTGATATATTTTCGTTGGTTAAATACGCAACCATTTTTATTTTGGTTTCTTGGTCGAAATCATGGTCTAATAGTGATAACACAAATACTTCAGTAACCAAATACCATAAATGGCTAAACTTCTGTTAAACTGGTTTTGACATGCTTTTATTAATCTTGTTGTAAGCCTTCATTGACTTCAAAAAGTACAAATTTCACGATGAACCGACAAACGTCTGACAGTATGCCTTATTTCCTATATATTTATCTCATACAGCCATTGGTGATAATTGATAGGTTTCTAGAGAATCGGTCCAACATTTCATTTGTCTTTGGCAAGCAGTGTCTAGTCATCTGAAAGCAGCTCTAATAATCTTTAAGTACTATCTAATCTTCTATTAGCAAGATGTACTTTTCTG